AAAGGTAAATCTAAAAAATAAAAAAAACAATTTAAGAAGAAGAAATAAATTTGTTTGGTGTAATCTTTTTCTTCGTTTTTGTACTTTTGGGATTTAAATTGTAACTTGCAAGGGCTTTTATATTTGGGCAATGTTTGTGTTAAGGTACTTCTTATATATAAAAGTAAGGCATAACTCTAAGTATTGCCTAGAGATATAGTCAGGTGTCGTATATCTTATGATGGCTTGAAAATATATTTCCATCACTCGTTATAAATTTTGAAATTTCAATAATATAGATCGACGAGATCTATAAATACTTGAAAATATTAAAAATAGACGATCCAAATAATTTATTATAAGACACTATTTTTAGGACAAAAATAGACGATCCAAATAATATTATACAAGGCGCACTATTTTTAGGACTTAAAACTTTTTTTGTTCTTTCTTTTTCTTCATACTCTACGCATATAAGGGTCCAGATGATCAAATTGGAGGGTTTTCTAAGAGCACTTTTTTCTTAATGATTTTTGAGGTGCACTTTACTGAATAGCATAATGTTGACAGTTTATATATACTCTTTTCTTTATATTTTGTAAAAGCAACTAAAAAAGATGAACTGAAATTCTAAACCTATGCAAAACAAAATATCGAAAGATAGTAAAACAAAAAAAATACCCACAAAGAAAAGCACAAAAAACAATTGAAGTTTATCAATTTTAATACTAAAATCAGAATTAGCACATCCAAGAACTATAAAAATTAAAGAAGGTTTTTATAAAGAGGGAAGCGATAGAGAGAGGATGATGGAAAAAGTAATGAATAGAAAAAGAGAGAATGAGCAAAGAGAGAAAACAGAAACAGGGAATGTTGGAGAAAGTAGAGACAGAGGATGAGAAAAAAAAGAGTAAGTGAGGGAGAGTTGAGAGAGGCTGATCTTCGTTTCAGAGTTTGGAAACCATTACTATAGGGAATTTGAAAACCATTGCAAGCATTAGTTTTTTGGACATGCAACTTTTCAACCCTTTCTAAGGGGTGATTTTGATATACACACCTTTACAAACCATGCAGTTTTTTAAGGGATTGTATAATATGAGACCATTGGTTTTTTGGACATGCAACTTTTCAACCCTTTCTAAGGGGTGATTTTGATATACACACCTTTACAAACCATGCAGTTTTTTAAGGGATTGTATAATATGAGACCATTGACCTTTGTAACGAGGTCACAAGCAATTTTAGCCATCCAATTTCAAATTCGACGGCTAGAGAGGTGTCATATAAAGTTTGAAATTTTTTTCTTTGAATTATCAACCACCTGATATGAAATCTGATGGACAAAAGCAATTATAACCTCCGTGTACCAAAAGTAATTGATCTCTTTGTATACTTTCTTTTTATTTAAACACAAAGTTAAGAGAGTTTCGTACAAACTTCAATTATATAGGTTGAAAGATTTTAGGGAAGAGATAGGAAAAAGAGATGGATCTAAGGAAAAAGAGAGGGATTTAAGGAAAGAGAGAAGTGAGGTAATTTATGAAAGGGAAAATTACAAATAACTCTCAAGAATAGACTTCCTATGCAACTTACCACCAACCAAATTTTTTTCTCACTTTTTATACCAAATTTAACTTTCCTAGAAAATATCCCCAAGTCATCAAAAAGGTAAAATGAAGACCAAAATACCCTCCGAAAAGCATGCCGTCCAGCATAAAATGGGGGCAGTTCGACACTTTGAGCATGTGGTCCGGCACAAAATGCGGGCGGTATGACACTTTGCTTCTAAAAAACATGTAGCGGTACAAAATAGGGACATTCCGACACTATGGGCATGCTTTCTAGCACAAAATGGGGGCGCTTCGGCATTTTGGGCTTTTGGAAAGCTTATTGTTCGACACAAAATAAGGGGTGATCCAACACTTTGGGGATGCATTCCAGCACAAAATGCGGACGGTCAGGCACTATGAGCATTTTCATAAAAAAAATATGACTTTTTTGACTTGGGGGTATTTGCTAAAAAAGTTCAATTTGGGCAAAAAGTTGCTAAAAAAAACTTTGTTGCATTAAGTTGTCTAGAAAGTCTTATTTTTGAGATTTAGGAGAGAGAGTTTATAGATTTTGGTAATGAATATGGAGGGACAGATTTGAGGAGAGTGAGGCAAAATTAGTAATAAGAAAATAAATGCCTCAAAAATAGGCAAGGTCCCCTTGTTGCTTAATATAAAGTAGAGAAAATTATGCTCATGTTCCTTATAATTAACGTCATCGAGAATTTACCCAAATGTTTTTTATTTTTACATTCGTACATTTTTTGTCTCAAATTATTTTAGAGAGACCAAATTGTTCATAATTTGGTTATTCAAGATTCAAAATTCAAATTTATATAGTTCTAAAATTTAGTTGTTTTTATAATTTTTGAATTTTGAATATTTGAGAAGTTTTTAGCAAATAAATTTTTTTTTTCAATTTTTTAGATTTTTTAAGTCTTAAATTTGTAAATAAAAAAATGAAGTTTTTGGGGGTAAAAACTTTAGGATTTAAAACCCAAAAATTCCAAAAAAATAAAATTTTGAGATACATAAAATTTGGATATTAAAAATCTAAAAACTGTACAATTATGAAAATTTTGGGTTAAATAAATTTTTAAATATTCAAAATTCTAAAAATTGTAAAAACTAAGAAGTTTTAATGCTCAAAATTTATTTATATATTTAAAATTTATAAAAAATAAGTAAAATTAAAAAATGTGATAGTTTTGGTGGGGGCAATTTAAACCTTTTAAAAAATTGGAAAGAATTGGATACAAGCGTAAAAAAAATAATATTTAGATGCGAACAATAGTTTCATGTGGGTAGGAGCGCATTTCTATAATATGTAGTCCAGCGGTATAAAGCATCGATGGATGCAAATAGGTAGTCCATTTAAAAACAATTGTAACTAACAGTTCAAATGTTTACTTAACATAATTATTATTTTTAGTTATTTTATTTTTTCATATTTATGATGCTCATATTAAAAATTACATCTTCGATGAAAATTAAGATCAAATTATATTTAAAAAATATATTTCTTACCAAGCCCGCATTTCTACAATATGCGGGCTGGCCGCATGATGTAGATAACTGTTATTATCGTTAAGGATACGCGCGTAATTTTAGCAGGGAATAAAATTTTAGCCGTCGGGACAAAAGATTTAAAACGGAAGGGTCTAGCGGGAAAGGTCTCTATAGTCACTCGCTCTGTCTCTCTCTCTCTTCTCTCTCTCCTCACGCTCGCACACCTTCTCGCCGCTATCGATCGCCAATTGTTATTGAATTTACTGTGATAATTGGCTATCGATCACCAATTGCTACTAAATTTTACTATGATATTGTTGAGTTATTTGTTCTTTGTTCTTTGTTCATAGATATATTTTTTTTTGTGCTTTTCTCAGTATTTTGCAGGTATTTTTCTTTTTCTTTTTTTCTTTTGTTCTTTTTTTTCTGCCTATTTTCTTTGTGTTAGGTTTGCAGGTTCTAGATCTTCGTCTTCTTGAATGGATCGTCTCCGAGGGCAGATGGTTCCCGGTCAACCATCGTCAAGGAAATCCGTAAGCCTCTTTTTCTATGACTTCGATTCTTTTCTTGTAAATTTTTAACTGATGGAATTATATGTAACTCCAGAAAAATTTAAAAAATTAGGGTTTCAGGGATTTCATCTTGATTTCAGGTTTCACTTAGGGTTTGGGTATTATTTTATTAATTTCTCTGGAATCTTGTAAATTTTTAACTGATGGAATTATATGTAACTCCAGAAGAATTAAATAGTTTCGGGGATTTCATCTTGATTTCAGGTTTCACTTAGGGTTTGGGTATTATTTTAATAATTTCTCCAGAATCTTGTAAATTTTTAACTGATGGAATTATATGTAACTCCAGAAAAATTAAAAAAATTAGGGTTTTGGGGATTTCATCTTGATTTCAGGTTTCACTTAGGGTTTGGGTATTGTTTTATTAATTTCTCCATTTGTTTGGATCTTGATAAATCGCGAGTTAGACTTGCTTACCCCTCACCAAATTACAGCATTTCCACCCTAAACTCAGAAACTCATATTTGGCTCCCTCCTAATCTTGAGATTATTGCTTTTGTCTCGGTAAATCTCCTTCAATCTTCTCTCGTCTTTCATAGCAACGGTTTCTCCTATAGTGTCCAATTTATGTTCAGGGCCAAATCCACCATGTTCAACCTGAGCCTGACCATGATGGTTGGACTGTTGTCCACCGTAGCAACTGTGCTTCTCTCTTGGGCTTCCCCACCCAGAGTCTCCAACAACCCACAGGATCACAATAAGTCTCTACCACCCCACCATACTCCGGGGCCTTCCATCTTGTATTCCCAAAGAACTCAGGACTATAATCAACCCCAACTAAGCTTCGGTTGCCCTCCCCTCTCATCTCCTTGAGAACGTCACCAAATCAAAGGCAAGGGTAAGGCACCCCTCGAGGTGACGGCTCACATGCGTCATCATCCTTCCTCCAACCCTTATTCTTCATCCAACCATTCAAATCTCCCCACCTACTCCCATGCGTACTTCGATACTTGCTAGCCCCCCGCCACCTGTTTTAAATGCGGCTTGCCCCTTGAAGCCACCTTGCAACCCAATCTCTAGCAAGCCGCCCAAGTCAGCCTCGTCTTCCCTCCCACTTACCTCCTCAGTACATTTTCAAGGAAGGATAATGGCAGTCCCATCTTCAACTGTGCCGCCCTTTGGAGCTCCCCTATTCCAAACGTTAATTGCAGTCTCTAATGCCCCTCCCTTCCAGACCTCCACCCAACTTTTTTTTGTACAGGTGTCGCACACCTCGTCCCCCACTTTTCCCTATGCGTTACACACCTAGTCCCCCACTATTACCCACGCGCCCCTTCATCTGCCAGATTTAAGCAATCAGTCGCTTTTTTCTCCATCTCTCCCCTCTATTCCCAATGTGTCCCGCCACCTGCTAGATCTCAGCACTCAGCCGCCTCTTACCCTCCTTTTAATGCCCATGAGAAACCTGGCACAACTCCCACTCTCCCCAAAGATCTTACCGCCCAAATCTCCCATAATCTCTTTCTTCTCCTACCCCCTCCCCATCCTCGGTTTCTTGGACTGCCATTAATGGGTTGCATCAACCCCAATCTCCAACGGTTCAATCTGGTTGTTCTTCCCTGGTTCCCTTCATTTCTTACCCTTCATTCCAATCCCCAACCTTTCCAACCAACTCCTCCTCTCCCCTATCAAGCACTCCCCCTTTACGTCCACTCCCCTTGGAACCATACAATACACCCCCTTCCCCTCCAATGCTTCCAAGACAAAAACAGAAACTTGCATACCCATGGTGGTATTACTGCCAAGCAAATTCGAGCAGCCTTCCTAACCCTCCACCAACTCGAGCAGTATCAGAACTCTACCCCATTCATATCCCAATGACGGATCTACACCCAACCCATGCCTACTGCTTGGGATTCCCCTCCCCTTACCCATTACCCAAGCTCTTCTTCCCCCCCCTCCTATCTTTGTAAGCGCAGAATTTTCCCCGGACAACCCTTTATCCTCTAGCCTCCATGCCACCACTCTCCCGAATCCACCTGGTACAAGTCTCCATTACCTAGATTTGGGCAACCTAGAATCTCTGCCTCTAGAAATGAGGCCTGCTTTAAACGCAGACCAAGCAACTAGAGGCCAACTTCCCCCTTGCATTCCTTCTCTAAATTATTTCTTTCCCCCTTCACCTTTGACTTCTCAATTGTCGATTGAGCCTTCTTTCCTTCATAACCCTCGTTCGCTTTCCTCTTTTGATCCTCAGATCCCACCTACCCCTCGTAACTCCTTCCAAGAGTCGTATTTTAATTTTGATATTCAATCTTCAACCTCGGTAGACACCAGCGAACTGGAAAGAATTGATAAAGGAGCCCCTCTACTAGCGGATATGATAACAGATGTTAGCCTTGCCTTTTCAGGAGAAATGGACGACCTTACAGGCCAACTCAGAGCTAATGCAGGTGCCCTACATGTAACTCCTCCTCCCAAATCCTCTAAAAAGTTCAAGGAGCTTGATAAGCTCCGCTCTGGGGTGAATTATGACACTCCTCGAACATCAGCCCCGCTGATCTCCCTCACCTCTATCCTTCCCCTCAGCTCCACCAAGAGGAGATTCGTAAGGAACTCCTCCCTCCACCCCAATTCTCCCCGATGAAGGTCCTCTGCTGGAATATTAGAGGACTCGGCAGCCACGACAAGTGAATGGTGTTTATAGGGTATGTTTGACCTTGGGGTTGGATTTTTGGCCCCATACGCTCTCTTGTCTAGTCAAATTTCCCTACAATCCTTGCCCTCTTTGAGATTAAAAGTCCTTCCCCCGGCCTCGCTTCTAGTAAGGAAATCTTGGGCCATAACTCCTGTGCTTGGGCTGCAAAAGACTCACTAGGGGCCTCAAGAGGTATCTGGGTCATCTGGAACCCAAGCATCCTCCAAGGTTAGCACACCTAAGCTCTCGACTTTTCTGTCTCCATCTCTTTTCGACGTTTATCAACAATTTTCTTTTTCAAAGCTGCTTTGTCTACAGTCCCAATAGCGCCACTCTTGAGACCCAATATGTGGCTGTAGCTCTCTTCCCGTGCCCCTTCTCTCAAGATCCATTGGATTCTGGGTGGTGACTTTAATACTGTGAGGTGACCTCAACTCATCTATGCGAGCGTTCTCTGATTTCATTGTGGGCATCCCCCTCATTGATATCCCCTTCTCGAGAACTTCCTTCACTTGGTCCAACCACGCAGCCATTCCCATTCTTCCCAAAATTGATAGATTCTTAGTAAACCAAGCATGGGAATCTACCTTTCTAGGAACATGCTCCCGGGTACTTTCTAAGTCTACTTCAGACCTTACGACTATCTTGTTAGATACCAACCATGCTTTTACCCCTAGCAGGCCTTTTAGATTAGAGCTCCATTGATTGGAAGAACCAGCCTTCCTCCCCCTTTTTCTTTATGTCTGGTCTTCCTCCGTTGATGGTTGGGATGGCTTTAGACTCACACGTAAACTTCAACTTCTTAAAGCTGCTCTGAAACAATAGAGTAGGAATCTTCCCACCAACTTTAGAATCCCTATTAGGAATTTCTCAACCTCGATTTCTGGCTTGGACGAAGTGGAAGAATCTCGACCAGTCCCTCCCCAAGAAAGAGAAGATAGGATTCAAGCCAAAATAAACCTAGCTCAAACTTTAAAGAGAGAAGAATTTTTTTGGTACCAGACGTCCAGGATTCGGTGGCTCAAAGAAGGAGACCTAAGCACATCTTTCTTTCACAAAACTGCTAGCTGTAGATGTAGGGGAAATGCAATCACTCAAATCGTAGTAGGGGCTCAATCCTTTTCTCAGCCAGCACATATTAGCAGACTCTTTATTAGATTTTTCAGGAATCTCTACTCCAAGCCGACTCACCCCCACCTGGTCCTTGGTAGTATTGCTTTCCTAACACTCCCTCTTACTAACTCTGCTAGTCTTGAATGGCCCTTCGCCTAGGAGGAAATCAGGAAAGCAGCTTTTGATCTCCCTAAAGATAAGGCTCCAGGTCCAGACGGCTTCTCTGTTGCTATCTTCCAATCTTTCTGGGACACCACATTTCCAGACCTCTTAGCTTTTTTTGAAGAATTTTTCATTAGGGGCAGGCTCAGCTTTGCACTCAATTGCACCTTTCTAGCCTTGATCCCCAAAATTGAGGGAGCACATAGGATGACGGATTTTCGTCCAATTAGTCCCCTTAACTCTTCCTATGAGGTTCTGGCTAAGGTCTTAGCATCCAAGCTCGAGGAGGTTCTTTTCAAAGTCATTTCCTCAATAGAGTCTGCTTTTGTATCCAACAGACAAATCCTTGATGGAGCGCTAACTGCCCACGAGGCCATCCACTCCAGATCTCTAACAAGTTGTAAAGGTCTCATTATAAAGTTGGATTGGGAAAAGGCTTATGACATGGTGGACTGGTAGCTCCTTGAGTCCATTCAAGCTCTTATGGGGTTTGGTCCCCTCGGGAGAAAATGAATCTCAGCATACATCTTTAACCCGCCTTTTCCATACTCATTAACGGTTCACATGAAGGTTCTTTCCCAAGAATTTCTCCAACATTGTTTGCTTTTGTAGCCAACAGACTAATCCTTGATGGAGCCCTAACTGCCCACGAGGCCATCCAATCCAGTTCTCTAACAGATCGTAAAGGTCTCATTACAAAGTTGGATTGGGGAAAGGCCTATGACATGGTGGACTGGTATCTCTGTGACTCCATTCGTGCTCATATGGGGTTTGGTCCCCTCTGGAGAAAATGGATCTCAACATGCATCTCTTACCCACCTTTTCCATACTCATCAACGGTTCACCTGAAGGTTTTTTCTAAGCCCAAAGAGGGCTCAGGCAGGGGGATACACTGTCACCTTTGCTCTTCACCTTTATTGGGGAACTCTTCACCCAAAGCTTAACAAAACCTCTATGACAATGGCTCTCTGCTGGATTTCCAAATATCTCCCTCTGGCCCTACAGTCTCCCATCTTCTCTATGCAGATGATACACTAATCTTCTATGAGGCCAACCCTATCCAAGTCGACTGCCTTTGGAGGTTCTTGAGAACATTTGAACTACTCATAGGGTTGAAAGTAAATCTAACAAAGAATAAAATGCTTGGCATCCTAGTTGATAATGTAGGACTGATTAGCCGAGCCCAATGTCTAGGTTGTGCCTCTGAATCCCTTCTCTCTTTATACTTAAGTCTCCCCCTATGCTAAGCCAAACCTAAGAAAAATCTTTGGTATAACCTCATTGAGAGATTCACCTGGAAATTTGCCTCTTGGAAAGGTCGCTTCCTTTCATTTGACGGAATAATTAGCCACCCTAGCTAGCATCCCTATCTTCTCCATGTTTCTCTATAAAATGCCCATCTCGGTTATCCAACACTTGGAAAAATTGATGAGAGATTTTCTGTGGGCTGGTGTAGACGACACCAGGAAAATTCACCTGGTACCTGGGATTTGGTTTGCTCCCCTAAGAAATTTGGAGGTCTAGGAATAAAAAACGTTAGAACCATGAACCTTGCCCTACTTGGGAAAAGATGGTGGCAGTTCTCCTCCCTCACCCCCTACTTTGAAAACAAGTTATTCTTGCAAAAAATGGAATGAACTTCCTAGATCACTTCCACACAGATCTTCTGGGGGCATGGAAGTGCATATCCTCCACCAGAATGCCTTTGCCTAATTGAATCAGATTTCGACTTGGAAATGGTCTCATAATTAAATTATGGACTGATCTTTGGATAGGTCACACTCCACTTTCCATAACCTTCCCCTCTCTCTTCCTAGTGGCCTGCAACCAAGAGGCTATGGTTTCTGATTATGCCACATTCTCAAGTGATAAACCTGATTTGAACACCCATTTTTAGGCGTCATCTTACTGACCAAGAATCTAATTCTTTCACATCTCTTCTTCTGGTCTTACATTCCTTTTTCAGCCCTCTTCTTCAACCAGATTCTTTAGTTTGGTTACCTTCCCCATCGGGCTCCTTCTCAGTCAGTGTTTCAAAAAGAGGACCTCCCAGCGCCTGGGCGGCCGCTTAGGCGGTTCTGGGGGCCTGGGCACATCACCCAGGCCTGGGCACCCAAAAAAAGCGGATATCCCTGGGTGCCCGCCTAGGCGCCCAAGAACCCACCTAGGCAGCCTCTCGGGCGGCTGGCCGCCTAGGGACTGCGCCTCGCCCAAGGGTGGAAATGCCCCCCGTTGAGGGTATTTTTGGGTCTTTTTTTTTATACTAAAGGTGCAAAATTGTGGGTTTTAGGTTCATTTGAAACTTAAAATCCATTAGAGCGTATTGTAGAGAGAGAAAAACCCCAAAAAAAAAAATTTCCACTGAGCCGCCCAGGTTGTGGGTGCTCGCCTACGCGCTGAGCGGCCCCAACTGCCCTGGTCGCCTAGGTGTAGCCTAGCGCTTTTTGAAACATTGTTCTCAGTCTCTTCATTATATTCTTCTCTCCTCTCCAACCAGATCCCCAAGTCTTTGCTTAACCAAACCTGGTCCCTATCAATACCACACAAAGTTCAGGCCTTTATTTAGGTCCTTCTCCAAGGCAAAACTCTAATGTTAGACCAACTTCAAAAAATAGGATTCCCCTTCGCCAATAGGTGCATTCTTTTCCTCCAAGAGGACGAGTCAATCCCTCACCTCTTTCTACACTGTGAAGTCTCCTTTACCCTCTGGTCTTCACTCCTCACTCTGTTTGGTCTTCTGTGGGTCACCCCGCAGACCTTGACTAGTCTCTTTGAATCTTTCTTTTCTCCACCTTTTTCCAAGATTGGAAAAAATCTCTTTAAATTAGCAGTATCAGCTCTGCTTTCGAGTCTATGGCTTGAAAGAAATTCTAGGACCTTTAAAGGCACCCAAAATAGCATCCTCTCGGTCTTTGATTCTATCACTTCCCTCATTTCCTTAAGGGCCAAAGCATTCCCCTCGTTTGCCAACTTGCCTATTTCCCATTTCCTGAACTATTGAGACAACTTGCTTTACCTTTCAGCCCAAACACACAGACCCAAACCTAACTGGCACCCCTCTCCCCCAGGTTTTCTTAAGCTGAATATAGATGGGTCCTCACTAGGAAGCCGTGACCCCTCGGGAACTGGAGGTTTACTTACGGATGCAAAATCTTATCATATGGACCTTCTTAGAATATATTAGTTTCCAAGATTCCACATATGCAGAGGGCTTCGGCCCTCTTAACAGGTCTCAAAAAGGTGGGTCAGTTGGCTACAACATATCAAGGGCTTATCGTTGAGTTTGACTCAACAGACACGGTTCTTTATGCTACCAAACATAAGCCTCCTCCTTGGAGGTTCATTCCAATTTTTGAGCATATTTCTTTCAGTGCAGCTCACTTCCATAGGTCGCTTTCAAGCCCATTCTTAGAGAGGCAAACGGAGAGGCTGATCAGCTAGCGAAGGAGCGGGCCTCACTTGGTGTTGCTGCATCCCCAAACCTTTGATTCTTTTTCTTCTATGCTCCACTGAAATCCTCTCTCTTTTTCCTTTTTTCTTCTTTCCCTTTTTCTCTCTCCGTCCATTCCTATTTCTTTTTTTCTTCTCTTCTTAACTGCTCTTTCTACTTTGCCTCTGGCCTCTCTCTCCCCCCCCCCCTCTAAATAAATAAATAAATAAAAAATTCCGGGTGAGTAAAGGTCTCGAAATAAAATAAAGAAAGAAGAAGTGAGAGGTCCTTATCTCCATTTTTTTTTTTGGTACTTGTAGCATTCTTTTGGGAACAGAAATCATGTTTACGCTTTTTTCGGACTTTCCTTGCAAGTAGCATCCCTTAATTTTATTCTTATTTTGAAAGTGATCAGTAAATCTGGTTTCCTCTTTTCTATTAATTTTGAACTTAGAGCCTAAAGAAAAGCCGCTTGTTTCTTTAGTTCCTGAGTAATATTTTTTAATTTCAATCTATTTTCAAATGCCAGTTCCATGTTGTCTTGTTTTTTTTTCCAAACAATATCGTGTCTTACTTAATTTCACTTTTTATAAAACAGTATGACAGATTCATACCTTATAGAGGAGCAATGGACCTTGATGTTGCGCGATATATGCTCACGGATTCGAGCCAAAGGAATTCGAATAAAGAGAATGTCGTTGCTGACTCACCAGTGAAGAAGGCTCTCAACGAAATTGTTTTCCAAAATAGAACGAGAATCCTCGCTTTTAAGAGCAGGCCCCCAGCTCCAGCTGAGAGTGTTTGTGAGGAAGTTTTCTCAGATACGCATCAAGTGAGATCAACCAAGCCGTGAAGATATATTTCTTTGGTTCGACTCTCTCTCTCTCTCTCTCTCTCTCTCTCTCTCTCCTTCTTCTTACTTACTTACTTACTTACTTTACTTTACTTTACTTTACGTTTACGTTCTTTACGTACTTACGTACGTTACGTACGTACGTACGTACG